AAAAAGTTATGAGCTTAATAACTTATATTGAGGTCGGCTTTACAAACTTTTTAATTTTATAATATATTTATATTTAAAAAACTTGGCTTTTTTTAAAATCAAATAATTGATAGATATTATTAAATACTACGCAGACGACGTGGGGGCAGGTCGCTAGTATAATAAATGAATAAAAAATAAGAAGTATTTTAAGAAATGTAGAAAGAAATGGAAAAAATTCCACTGTTAGAACATAAGTAGGTTTGTAATTCAAGACCGTGTCCAAAGACTACGCGGTTCTCACGTCCCATGTCGCCAGGTAATCGAACACTGAATAATATCATTTATCACATTCATTACCGAATTCTCTTCACCTTATTAGTGCTTGTGACCGCTAAATATAACCGCGTGAGTGATGTGTTGACTAAATTAGAGACAACTAAATTCTTGTGCGACTTTCGTCTAATTCTTTCAATTTCAAGTGTGACCTGCGCGCCGTATAAATGTGATCCAACAGTAATCGGTAGATAATAATATATTTATATAAGCATTTAATATTAAATATAATATAATATAATATACTAACTAGATAATTGTAGATATATCGTTTTAATGGAGACAATTTATTTATGTATGGAGAATGGGCCCAACACAAATTGTAGCTTAACTTAATGAAATGCATGCCGATCTATTCGTTACAATCTATAGATTGCAATAATAATATTAGTTTTACCATATCTAACGGGAATACTGAGAAATAAACAATTAAAATATGAATATTACAATAACCTAAAACCATACTAAAAGCGGGTGTCAAGTAGTTTTCATCGGTATTATAAGTTAAAATAGTGCACTGGTCAATAATTAATAGTATAAAACAAAGTAGTTGGTGCATTCAGCATTTTTAGGCAATTTAAGATTGATAAAAAGTCCTTTTAGTAGTTCATTCTTCGTTACTGTAGTGTTTGCTTATATGTAGTATACAGTAAATATTGTTATTTGTTTTATTTACTAATAATTTACCATGCACAAATACACAAACATACATTTATATATAAGTCACTGTCTCGAGCGCACCGCGTCAGTTACACGAGAGCCTTGCGCGAGAGTGGACGTGTTGTTTAGTTAAAGTGCGTGCCGAGCCTGTGTTACACTACAGTGGTTAGAGAAGATAGCAGACATTACAAGTGGCGACGAGGAAAAAGATAAGTACCTATTTAGTATAAAAATATAATCAAAAATAGGTTAGCAATGTGCAACTATTAGCATTGCAATTGTAAATTAATTCCTAGAGTACCCGCGGAAAAAAAACTGTGGATTATGAATTATGATTTATTGTTTTTAACCCTGTTCTGATCATTTTAATAATTTATATAAAATATATGTTCGCATTTGACCACGCTTATGGTGTGCTAAAATTTATTTTCTTTATGTAGCAATGATAAAATAATGATTTATTTTAACATATGTCTATTAGCACAACTTTTATATAAAAAGATTTTTGATGGAAAAATAGTAGATGTTACTAAAAACTCCTCTCGATTCGAACCGAAATACAATGTCGTTAGCTAAATTTTAATGGCATTTAACATGTAGGTGTGATATTTATCGCCTTTAATGAAAATACTATTTTACTGCTTTCATGGCATATATAAGTCTTACAAAAAAATCGTGGACACTTCACGACTTCTGTACATTGCAAAGTAGGTAACTAGTAATACTGTTTATTTATTTATTTGCTTTTTAAGGGAAACATACAGTGCAATAATAAATTACATAATAAAACATATAAAAGTAATCCTAAAAACCAATGAAGTTTCCACAGATATCTAATACATAATAAAAGCAAACCACAATATTATGTTATATAAAATTAAAAATATAAAAGAATAAAACAAGCTAAATGGTATTCATAAATTAAAACATTAAGTAGTAAGTAGTTAAAAGTAACATTATATATACAACTCAAAGTGATACTACCAATTATATATTAAGTTTTACAATATTTTCTTTGTAACTATCATATTCAAGGTGAAAAATATCTAATATTTACAATATTTTAAGTTAAACTTTTGCATGTACGAGATACAAAATTATTTGAGGCATTTTTTCGTTTTAACTTTAGGTAATGCAAAAAGTGGTTTATTTCGTGCACCTAACCTGTGACACGCAAGATTCACCTTGCCTAAAAGTAGGGGAGAGTCGATGATATTATGAAGCAATTTGTACAACAACATTTGATCTCTTATATCACGGCGTTTCTCGAGGGTATTGCTGTCTAAGTTATCAATAATGGTAAATGCGCAATATAGGTATTGAATTTACCCACAGCCTAAATGGCACAGCGATGGAAGTAGTCGGTATAACAAATAAACCAAAAGAGAAGGGCGAGTGTTATGGAACATATTATTATCATGAAACTGAGTTTGGGTACCAAGACACCAATCATTAAATTGAGTTGGGTACTAAAATACCATCATTAAATTGAGTTGGGTACTAAGATACCATCATTAAATTGAGTTGGGTACTAAGATACCATCATTAAATTGAGTTGGGTACTAAGATACCATCATTAAATTGAGTTGGGTACTAAGATACCATCATTAAATTGAGTTGGGTACTAAGATACCATCATTAAATTGAGTTGGGTACTAAGATACCATCATTAAATTGAGTTGGCTACTAAGATACCATCATTAAATTGAGTTGGGTACTAAGATACCATCATTAAATTGAGTTGGGTACTAAGATACCACCATTAAATTGGAACTTGGGTACTAAGGTAGGTACCACCATTAAATTGGAGCTTGGGTACTAAGGTATGTACCACCATTAAATTGGACTTTGGGTTCTAAGTTACTACCATTAAATTGGACTTTGTGTACTAAGTTACTACTATTAAATTGGACTTTGGGTACTAAGTTACTACCATTAAATTGAACTTTGGGTATTAAAATACCCGCATTAAATTGGAAAAAACAAATATAAGAAACTGTTTCAGTTTGCCCCTAAAATAATAATAATAATGATACCGTTATCAGCTTTAATGTGATAGCACATCTATGGCTATAAGGTGTGGAAAATGGAAAAGGTCTCTACTAATCTATCTGGACGCAGCTGAAGTTATATCAGCACTCGAGAAACGAGCTACGCTATTGCATTTTGGTGGCTCTGGGATAAAAGAAACCGTTGATGTATTTTAAGTAGCAAAAAAAAAAACTCTACGAGTATTTTCAACCTAAACGGAGCAAAGTTTATGAGCGGCATGTTTTTCGATTGCTAAAACAGAAAAAAGGAGAGACGTTTGAGAAGTTTTTGATAAGATTGCGTCAACAAGCCGAAAAGTGTGCATTGAAAAGCAAGATGACCATTTCATAGATCAAATTGTGGAAAAGTGTAATTCGAAATGGTGCAAGAACCTTATATCTTACAAAACGTGGGAAGAGTTAAAAAGCAAAAAAGTATATGCTTTTAATCAAATGTAAAGACCAGACAAGACATTATTAGCATAGGGTAGTAACTCTCCTTTGGCAATAGAGGGTTCATTTGAAACTATACTCGAAGTCGATGGACGAAAGGAACATACAACCATTTACGTGATTTCGGGGGGTACTAGAAACCTGTTTGGTAAGAACACAGCAGTCTGACTGGGTGTCTTAAAACTTGGTATCGGGATAAATCAAGTGGAGAGTAAAAGCAAGCCGATCCCCTTTAAAGAGAAGGTTGCAATCAAAATTAAGGAATCACTAAACAGTGATATAATTGAAGAAGTGCAAGGCCCGTCTAAATGGGTTTCACCAATGTTCCAATCATGAAAGAAAATGGTGAATTACGTTTGTGCGTAGATATGAGATGTACGAACGCCGTTATATTGCAAGAAAACCACCCCCTGCCTACTATGGACCATTTTTGCCTAAAATGAAGAAAGCTAAATATTTTAACAAATTAAGACATAAAAAAATGCCTTCCATCAAGTGGAAATTCACTCTGAATCCAGACACATAACGACTTTTATAACCCCCAAAAGATTATATAGATATAAAAGAATAATGCTTGGAATTACCTGCGCTTCCGAGATTTTTCAGAAGATCATTGAAAGGATGCTGATAAACTGTGAAGGGCTCGTCAATTTTATTGATGATATCCTGGTATTCGGGAACAGTGAAAAAGAACATGACGCATGACTAAAGAAAGTTTTACAGGTACTTAGTAAAAACAACGCCGTGCTGAATAGCAATAAATGCATATATAAAACGCAGGATGTGAATTTTCTGGGACACAGGCTTACACATGAAGGAGTAAACCCTTCAACAAGTACGTTGAGAGCATTATGAAATTTAGGGTCCCAAAGACCATAGAAGAACTCCAAAGTTTTTTAGGACTCTTAAACTACATAAACAAATGGATACCTAACTTGGCCGTCATGACAGAATTTCTGAAGCACCTGTTAAGACAGAAGATGAGCAAAAGGGAGAGCTTGGAAAAACAATGGTCTGGAGAACAAGATAAAGCATTCCAAAAACTCAAACGGATGCTCACGGAAATACAGATTTTAGGGTATTATGACGTCAGAGATGCAAGACAGGTGATAGCAGATGCTAGCCCTGTCGGACTTGGTGCTGTCCTTGTACAAAATGATACAAATAGCCCTAGAATTATTGCCTATGGTAATCGAGCTTTGACAGACTGCGGGCGCAGGTATAGCCAAACGGAAAAAAAGGCACTAGCATAAGTTTGGGGGGTCGAACATTTTAATATTTTATTTGGAAAGCCTTTTGATTTAGTCACTGACTACAAGCCGCTAGAGATATTGTTCGGGTCTAAGTCAAAACCATGTGCGAGGATTGAACGATGGATACTGAGGCTACAGTCTTATTCATTCAAGGTTATATACAAGCCAGGAAAAAACAAATATAGCTGATCCCTTGTCACGATTATGTAACTATCCTGATAACCCACCAAAAGGAAAAGACCAGCATGTGTACCAAATAGTGGAAAATTCTAGACCAGTTGCTATACCAATGAGTTCCATTGTAGCATATTCAGAAAAAGAACAAGAGATTTACAAAGTGAAAAAAGGTGTCTATCAGAACGACTGGGACGATTCGATTAAGAGTTACAAATTTTTTGAAAACGAGTTGTGTTTCCATGATAGCATTCTACTTCGTAGAAATAAAATTGTAATACCACAGCAACTTTGCAAGAGTGTATTAGATGCTGCATACGAGGGTCATCCAGGTATCGTAGCGATGAAGGGACGCTGGAGATCAAAGGTATGGTGGCCCCGTATCGATAAAGACGTAGAACAATTAGTAAAGGCATTTACAATGTTGTACGTTAGTGGATTTGCCAAGCCCAACTGCACCAATGAAGAGACGAGAGTTGCCTGCAGCTCCATGGATAGATGTCACAATGGATCTAATGGAACCATTGCCAAGTAACGAGTATCTGTTAGTAGTGGTCGACTACTATAGTCGATACAAAGAAGTAAACAATTACAAAAACATCACAAGCTTACAGATTATTAAAATGGTAAAAGAAATGTTCAGTAGACTTGGTTATCCTATTTCTATCACCGCAGACAATGGCAAGCAGTTCGTGAGTGAAGAGTTTCGATCCTTCTGCAAAGAATGTAACATTAAGTTATTTAGTACTGTACTATATTGGCCTCAAATGATCGGCGAAGTTGAAAGACAAAACAGAGATATTTTGAAACGTCTTCGTATCAACCAGATCGAGAGGAAGGATTTAAAAGAAATGTTTATGGGAGTATCTTCTAAGGTATAACAGCACCCCTCCTTACAGTTACCGGGAAGTTAGCGTCTGAACTGTTTTTTCACCGAAAAAGTAGGGATAAAATTCCATCAATAGGTGAAATAAATTACAGACAATCATTTAGATTCAGATATCAGGGATAGAGACAAAATACAAAAAAGGAAAAGGAAAAGAGTATATATATAGGAAACGCAAAGCAACTCGCTCAGATATAATACAAGGAGATAAGGTTTACGTAAAAGCAGTGGAAAATAATTAATACAGACAATACAAGCTGCTTTGTGATTGTTATGAGTTATAAAGAAAAAAAAAGAAAAAAAATCTTGATAAGAAAGAGATGTAGTGTTTGCTTATATGTAGTATACAGTAAATATTGTTATTTGTTTTATTTACTAATAATTTACCATGCACAAATACACAAACATACATTTATATATAAGTCACTGTCTCGAGCGCACCGCGTCAGTTACACGAGAGCCTTGCGCGAGAGTGGACGTGTTGTTTAGTTAAAGTGCGTGCCGAGCCTGTGTTACACTACAGTGGTTAGAGAAGATAGCAGACATTACAGTTACAAACATTTTTTTCATATTACATTAGCCAAAACACGAATATCAAAACGACTCTTTTTTTTCTGCCGACTTCAAAATGGAGACTGTACTCAATTCGGCGCGTATGTTTTTTTTTTATGTGTGTTACCTCATAACTTTTTACTGGGTGAACCGATTTCGATGATTCCTTTTTTTATATGAGAGCTGATACTTCTTGTATGGTCCCATATGAATTTGATCAAGGTCAGACCAATAGTTTTCTGAGTTATTTGAGTTATTCTTAATAACTTATATTGAAATCGGCTGTACAAAATTTTTAATTTTAAATTATAATTTTTTCACATTTCATGATTTCGGTAAAATTTTCATAAAGGCCGTTTAATATAATAAATTAGTATCTTTTTTATGTGTAATAAAACTAAGTTGCGCCAAAATTTTTAGTGGACCCAAAAAGATTGCTTTCTTTGAAAGGGTTATATTGTTTAATCAGGAATGATAATACAATCATTATAATTAAAAATTAAAAATTTTGTACTGCCGACTTCAATATAAGTTATTAAGAATAACTCAAAAACTATTGGTCTGATCTTGATCAAATTCATATGGGACCACATGAGAAGTACCAGCTTCCAAATAAAAAAAGAATCATCAAAATAGGTTCACCCAGTAAAAAGTTATGAGGTAACACACATAAAAAAAAACATACAGTCGAATTGAGTACCGTCTCCTTTTTGGAAGTCGGCAGAAAATTGAATGATCTATAACTTTCAATCTTTAAAATAAATTGTCGGTAGGTACGGTAGTGTAAGTTTATTGTACTGTTTCTAGAACCTTTACGAAAGTGCAAACAATAACTTTACAAAGTTTTACCGCAATCAGATGAGCTGTATGACAGCACATATAATTTAAAATTAAAAATTTTGTACAGCTGACTTCAATATAAATTATTTAAGAATAACTCAAAAACTATTGGTCTGACCTTGACCAAATTCATATGGGACCACACGAAAAGTATCAGCTTTCAAATAAATAAAAAGTCATCGAAATCAGTACACTCAGTAAAAAGTTATGAGGTAACACACATAAAAATAACATACAGTCGAATTGAGTACCGGCTCCTTTTTGGAAGTCGGCAGAAAAATATAGCCTAGATCACTGGCATTGCTTTCAACCTCTTCGTCAAATTTCATTGCAGTCAGTTCAGCTATTCCGAAGATAATCTCGGACAGCGAGATAGACAGACAGACAGACCGACAGACATACATACAAATTAAAAAAAATTCAAAACCTTAATGGCATGCAAATAAGACCTTTAGTTTTTTTTGCGCCCAGATGCAGTGGAAAGGCCTACCCTCCGGGAAGCGAGGAAGGGAAGTAGTGAATGCTCTAAACATACCACGACAGTCGGCTGCTGTGGTTATGTGGGACTCACTGCGAAACCTAAGTGCCTACCTACTAAACACCACCTGTGAGACTAGCATTGGCTTTTGTGGCCTTTCTGCCGAATCGGAAACGACCCTCTTTAGGGAAAAGGAGGCGCAGGCGGCGAGGAGCCGCTGAGAGGGGAGCCTAACTAAGGCAAATCAAGGGCGGGGAGAAGATTCGGCCTGAGGCGCCAGGAGGCGGTTTAGGTCGGCCGAAAGCTTGTTTGGGGGGTTCGTGAGAAAGTTTCTCGATCTTTGAACTCGATAGCGAGAGGGGAGTGGGGCTGCATAGGAAGCTGCCTCACGAATGAAATGATTAGAGTGAGACTCTGAGGCTTTGAAGAAGTTCTCAGAGAGTGTTTTTAGAAATCAAGAAAAGAGCATACTCCTTTTTAAAAGGCCGGCAACGCATCTGCAATTCCCTCCCTGGTGTTCCAGTTGTTCATGGGCGGCGGTAGTCACTTACCGTCAGGTGAGCCGCATGCTCGTTTGCCCCCTCTCCTATAAAAAAAATAATTGCTGGACTGTGGGGAGCTCTAAGTTTCGATGGAGGTAAGCGTTACGGATGTACCAGGGTGCGTTCGTAGCTCGACGACAAAAATTGTTTTGAACTATTTGAAGTTCGTTAAGGATATTGGGATTAGCGTGAGCAAATATGGGGCCCGTTTATGTCATAACTGGTCGTATACAGACCTTATAAAGGTTTCGCTTGTTACGGAGGGAGATTTTACTGTGTCGGCCCAGCATACTGTTGAGCCTACTCAGATAGAAGCGTGCGTTGCGAGCTACTCTCTTGATATGGGGCCCGAAGGTGAGCCTCGTGACAAGGGTGCACCTAAGTATTTGGCGGTCGTATCCCAGGGGACACGGGTCCCTAGCATACGGATTTGCGGAATTGTAGTGAGGCGGCGTGGTTTATGATCGAAGTGAACGGCGGAGCTCTTCTCCGGGTTCATATAGATACGCTTTATTTGGAACCAAGTTCCTAAGTCATTAACTGACTTTTGGATCTTGTTCCGTATGAAAGGTAGTGAGATATCTTTACAATAGAGGGCAGTGTCGTTTGCGAAGAGGAGAGCTAAACACCTTTCGGTGGGATGGGAATGTCGTTGGTGAACAGGATATATAGGAGAGGGGCAAGCACTGAGCCCTGAGGGACACCGGCTTTGATGGGACGCTGAGAGGAGAGCGTGCCTTCGTGTCTAAAACGAAAGGTACGATTCTTCAGGTTGGAGGCCTCGAGACAAACAAGACGATCAATGAGGCCTATTTTATAGAGTTTATATATAAGGCCTTCGTGCCAGACTCTGTCATATGCCTTTGCTATGTCGAAAAAGACCGCGATGGTCTTATGACGACGAGGATAAAAGCTGCTGAGGATATATTCCACAATACGGTGAACTTGTTAGGGACAAGAGTGTTACGCTCGGAAACCAAATTGGTGGGGGATGACAAGAGGGTCGCCGTCTGTGGGAAACAGATGGAGCTTCATGCGAGTGAGGATGACTCGTTCAAAGAGTTTGCCCATGGCCTTGAGGAGGCTGATGGGACCATGACTGGAGGGGAGGTTGTGAGGCTTTCCTGGCTTGGGGATATCAATGACAGTTGCTTTTTTCCATGTGGTGGGAAAGTATCTAAGGTTGAAGCAGGCGTTGAAGATTATAGCTATAAGGGTTAACACCTGCTCAGGAAAATGTTTAAGGGCTTGGTCGGAGATGCCATCCACACCCGGGGCCTTTTTGGGCTTCAGTCCTTTGATGATGGATGAGATCTCATCATTGGACACTGTGATAGGGTCAGAGGCTGTGGGGAATGAGTTCCGGCGGCGGACCTCATCCTCCACTCTCTGGATGTGGGAAAGACAGTTATCTCAATTTTACAGGGATATACTTCAATTTTATTTATATGTTAGTATAGATGTAGTTGTATAGATTGTTTCTTGACATCTCCTTGAGAAATATTGTCTTTAAACAGTGGCGTGTTAATTAATATCGAGTAGAAATGACCATGTAATGGTATTGATATACTGTATTATTTCTATTCAAACTAATTTATGCAATTCGTTCGATGGACAAATATTTTGTGCAGTTTAGTGACGCACGTATCCCGTTATCTAGAAACGATCACGAGTTTATACATTTTCTATCTTATTTACGGATATTTGAAATGCAGATTTAAGAGTTGCTGCGAAATAAGTCATCGTTAAGGATACGTGTTTCCAGCTTCGGAAAAAGTAAATAACATCATACATTTCTCTAGCTGCAGGCAAGAGACCTTCTTTGATGCAGTTTTGGAGTAGGAAAAGTTCACCGCTCTACTTAAGGGCAAAGTGAGAACCTTTATATAGCATGTAGTGCAAAGGGATAGTGAGTGATATCATGCGTTTTTGAAATATTAGTAATATTGCGTTACGCTTATAACACCAGTGATCGGATTTGTGTTTATTTTAAAACAACCACAATTCAAAAGTTAAAAAAAAAATATTTCCTTCAGTCTTAATTCGGGTCTTGACTCTCACTCAGTCTAAAGTCAGACGAAAAGAAATTAGGTTTTCATAGAATGCAATGGCTGTTATCATGCTGGATCAGCTTCTAAACTTATATAAAGCTCAAATACGGTTGTGTGCAGAGTGGCATGTGACGCATCGCTGCCATCTCGCTGGAACTCTGGTTGTGGGTCTCCCCGAAACCCCGA